TCTTCTTATCTATTCTACAATTCTTTGCTGTATGGTTTTCCGCGCGCATCGTAAACACGTGTTTTCTAACCCAAATATGCCTGCTTTTAGCTTTAATTTTGTTAACATCATTCTGGTGGGTGCTTGATGAAATTTCTTGGTTATCAATTTTTGCTGCTTCCAACGCTGATGCCCGGTCTACTAGATTTGAGAAGGTGTCTGTTGGGTTCACGGTTGCCACATTTGGTCACTTGTGACCAAAATAGGTAACTTTTTGAGTCCTTGGTAACTTGGCAACTTTTTTTTTTAGTTTGGTAACTTTTGATAAGTTTGCCGTGTATAAAGTCAGACTAAAAAAGTTGATATCGCCATCCCCGCGGATTGTCGGTGGTTACTATCGATGGGAAATAAGTTCGCACTACCTGTTTCTAGGAAAACATTCTCACCTATACATTTAATAGCGGATATTGAACAAAGCATACAAACGATGGAAGATGATAGACAAAAAGATATGGTGAGAAGCAATTTTGCAACAAAGGTTAACACGTTTAGAAACAAATTAAAAAATAGTCCAAAAGAAAAGTTTATACTTAAAATTTACGAAGAAACAAGAAGATTTATTCAGAAGCACAAGGATTCCATAATCATTACGAATGCGGACAAGGGTAACAGGACAGTAATGATATATAAGGCAGATTACCAACAAAAAATTCAAGACCTCTTAAATGATAAATGCACATATAAGGCTATCAGAATTGACCCGACCCAACAGCTTTTAAGGAAAAACAACAATTTGGTGAATGACATCTATAAAAATAAAAGCATTGACTTTAAACTTAAACAATACTTGACATGCACGGCAGCTACAGCACCAAGACTCTATGGCTTACCCAAAATCCACAAAGAGGACACACCTCTTCGACCAATTTCATCATCTCTGAATGTACCATGCTTCAAACTGGCAAAATATGTGGGGCAGACCCTTAAAAATATCGTTTCTGTAAACTTTAACGTGAAAAACTCATTTCAACTCAAGGAAAATATTAAAAACATAACTGTTGATGATGAGGAAATGCTTATATCCCTGGACGTCGTATCTTTATTCACGAATATACCCATCCATTTGGCTATTAACACAATAATGAAGCAGTGGTCAAGCCTAGAAAAGCATACAACAATAACCAAAAAACAATTCCTAACAATATTAGAATTTTGTCTGAGGGAAAACAACTACTTCGTCTACGATGGAACCTTTTACCAGCAAGTGTATGGTATGCCGATGGGTAACCCTTTATCGCCCACTATAGCTGACATTGTTTTAGACAAAATTATTGACGACAGCATTATCGAGCTTAGAAATAAGGACATATGTACCAAATACATTACCAAATATGTAGATGATATATTCGCTATAGTTAAGACAAAAGACGTGGAAGAGATACTGAAAATATTTAATCGACAGCATACAAAAGTACAATTCACACTGGAAAAGGAAATATATAACAAAATAGCCTTCCTAGATGTTGAAATTCATAAGAGTGAAAATAAATTGAAAACTAACTGGTATACCAAGAGCGTAGCATCATCAAGGATGATAAACTTTAATTCTAATCACCCGTGGGCCCAGAAGAAGAACACAGCAATAAATTTCATCACCAAAGTTTACTCCTTGAGTGATCCGGAGTTCATAGAAGACAATAGGGCTAAAATAAAAAAACATTCTCTTCAAAAACGCATATCCCAGCGGAGTAATAGAGACACTAATAACAACAGCGATAAAGAAAATGAAATGCAATAACAACATAACAATAAATAAAAATAACACGAAAACATACACAGGCGTCGCGTATATACCCAACCTAACGGACAACAAAACATTGGGCAAAATTATTAAAAACAATAACATATGCTATGCACATAAGCCACATAACACGACCGGAAATATTTATACCAAAACAAAGGACAAAATTAACAAGGAACAACTACACAATGTAGTCTACGAAATATCTTGCAAAGGAAATGAAGGCGAAAGCTGCAATAAAGTATACATTGGAACAACGAAGAGAGCATTAGGAACCAGAATCAACGAACACAAACTTGACGCCAAAAATAAGAAAAACACCACAGCGTTAGCGCAGCACTTGACCACAAACAATCACACAGCAGATTTCGCCAACGCTAGAATTTTAGACGTGGAGAACAGAACTAAAAAGCGGATGACATTAGAAGGGCTACGCATACAACAAAATATATGTAAAGCGATGAACTACAAAGAAGATGTTGACAATATAAACTGTGCATATGCTACTGCAATAACACACAATGTTTAAGCTATCGGAAGATAAAGAAGTTGCTAAATGTTAAATGTGGTGTCCGGAAAATGTATTTATGTCGTTTTTTAAAATTGTGAATAATTAAACTAATTTTTATGTTAATGTAAGTCAAATATGTTGAAATCTAACTATGTTTGTATTGTTCTAAATAATTTTGCTTGTTACTAATAATGTTTTTCGTTTTTGCAAATTAATAAACAGACTCCCTGAAGATGACGCGAAAATGCGTCGAAACGCGTAGGAGAAAAAAACAAACTTTGTTTTTATTTTCAAAACACCGGCCGAAAAGCTCCAAATACAAATACACAAATAAATTTACAACATTGGCCCAAAAGAAAAAAGAATCAATATTATTTATTGTTAAGAGAATTTTGTAAGTATTAACTTGGAGTAAATTAGCGTCCTCAATTACTGAAATATCGGAGTTTTCTGATTTTCAACGCATTTCTATCAAGTGCACCGAGTTTGGTACAAATTGATAATTCGGTTACCGAGATATACATTTGTGGTCAAAAGTGCGCGGCGCAACGCCCATTATCCAAAAAGTTATAATAATTTTATTTAATGCTAAGAGGTTATTCCAAGAATCGATTTAGAGTGAATTAGCTTCAGTAGCTATTGATTTATCGCAGTTTTCGCGTTTCTGTAAATTACCGTTATATGGGAAGTGGGCGTGTTTATCGCCCGATTTCAAGAATTTTTAGCAGTTATGTAAGATATAGCTTAGGCAAGGCTCATACTGAGTTTGGTACGGATTAGTGAAGCGGATACTGAGATACAGCATTTCATCATAAGTGGGCGGGGCCTCACCCATTTTCTAAAGATGTAATAATAATCCTATTTTGTTCCAAAATTTTACCTTACATACTAATTTTTAACAAGTCGGATACAACATTTACTGAAATATCGTAGATTTATCTAAATTGACATTTATCTAAATTGAAACGCTTGTATACCCAAAACTATTTCCTTAATCATCACTTATATAACACCAATGTAAAGGAAAACATAGTTATATATATAAATATAGTAGGGTTCGCCTTACATTCCCGCAGATTGTCATGGACCGACACTAGGGAGCTCAGAGCGGGCGTGCATGTTTTCGTTATCCAGGCTTAGTCACTCGGGAATGTCGGGGTTCTTGCTCCTAGCAATCCACCCTAGTATGAGCATATATAAAAAGTATCTCATGCACTTCGGAACGAAACCGACATTAAAAAAAAAACATTCATTCATAAAAATGTCAAGAGAAGTTGCATTCAGCTCTTATTCATGGAATACGGACGGACTCTTTAAAACAGCACAGTAAAACAGACGGACTTCGGAACAGCAAAAAAAAGAAGTATGAACCTAAGCGAAAAACTATACATAGGTCATCTACCACTGACCATAACACAAAAAAAAGTACTGCGCGAAGTGACAATAGGCGTAAACAAAATAAATTCATCATACCTGAGATTGGAGGTCTGGGATGTTGTTTGGCCTCCATATGTTCTCTCTATCCCTGCCCTACCAATGTATTGAGAGTTTACTCTTAACCTCTCCATTACCCAACGAACGCGAACCCACGCCTACATAGTTAACTCACAAGACTTAATTACAATGATCTACTCTTTATTCATTATAGTATTTTTACTTGAGTCTTCTCTAAAATTTTAAG